AGTGCCATCTGATACTCTTAAAACTGACTTTCCAGTTACTGACAGCATTCCAAGGATCAGGAATCCCTGTCTTTTATTGTGAAACTCAGGAATTTCTGCCATTACTGTGTATAATCAACAACCAAATCACCAATCATCACCATAGTTTTATTCATCTGCCTTCCATGGCAAGGTGAGGGGGAGTCAGTCCAATGTCTGAAGCAAATGATAAATTCCAGAATCAGTAATACAAAGAAGAAGCCACTTGAACTTCCTTATTACATTTTATTAAGCTGCTCCAGACCAATTATAACCATATTTCTTTGTGGTCTAATTAGGTTTGACTCAGTTGCACAGTGTGGAGGCCTGTAATGAGTGAACACATGAGAAACACGGCTCAGACTCCATGTGAGGGATCATTAATATGCTCTGGGCTGCTGCTTTGCAAGAGACTGCACCTAATTATGTGGGTTAACACACTTAAACTAAATGGATGAATTGCAGCCATTTGCAGTGTTTCAAGTCCCCTCAGACTGACAGAACTGTAGATTAATAAGTTGTTAGAGAGTGATCTGTTGACCTGCCCCATAGTTCTTCACTTTCACTTCATATGCTCATGGAGGCACTAAATGCTAAAGTGTAGAAATGTGTCAATCACTGCATTTCAATTTTGTGCCTTTCTCTGGCTCTTGCCTAAGAAATGATCCAAACTGGTGAAACGGGAAAATGCAATGCCCGACATGTCCAATGAACTTCACTTGACTTTGGGTCAAAATGCACAATGCACAGGAGGTAACAGGTCCCCTTGCCAGCATAAAACAGCTTAGGATAAAGACTGAAGTCCTCTCAGCTGCCTGGGGCTGCCTAAAGCCAGGCCTATAATACAATCACACAATGGTTTGGGTTGGAAGAGACATTAAAGATCATCCAGTTCCAACCCCCATGCCATGGGCAGGGACACCTTCCACTAGCCCAGGTTGCTCCATCATGGCCTTGGACACTTCTAGGGATGGGGCAGCCACAGCTTCTCTGGGCAACCTGTGCCAGGGCCTCCCCACCCTCACGGTAAAGAATTTCTGCCTAATATACAAATTAAATTCAATATCTTATCTAAATTTACTCTCTTTGGAGTGTATACCCTCCATAGAACAGAGGTTGTGAAATTATGATGAGATGGAAAGGGTGTATTGAGACAGAGTGCTAACCACCTTTTTTTTGGTGGAAGGAAAAAAACGGATATGAAATTATAGTCATAGGACCCAAAATCAATGCAAAAAAGTCCTGGAGTTTTTGTTTTTTGGTTTTTTCCTTTCTCAATTGGTAGTAGACCTTTGAAACTCCTTTACAAGCCACACCACCACCAGGAAACTCTCTTAATGGAAAAAATTTTGAATGCAGACTGCAAAGTTATTAGGGAGAAAAAATTATAGGTACTTTTTCTGTCCCTTGGTTACTTGTTTATGGCCAGTGATGGAGACAGAATATCAACTGATAGGGAGCTTTGAGATAACCACCAGAACTGTCCTACCTCATAGGGATGAAGACATGGAATGCTCCTCGAGGCTTCCTCCTGGTTAGTTCAAGCAGCTGTCTTCCCAGCACAGTAGATTTCATAAAAACATGGGATATCCTGAGTTGGAAGGGATCTAAAGGATCATCAAAGTCCAGCTTCTGGATTTATATATCCCATGCAAGTTTTCACATGTGTCATAAAAGGGGACAAAAGGTCAAGAAATTGTTGAACAGTGGATGGTACAACACTATCAGTTTTGACACCTATTTCCTTTCGTGGACCCAACTCTGAGGAACAGTCCTCATTTACAAATATCTCAGATCTGAGAAATTTCACTGGCTCCTGAAGGGCTTGTCAGTGACAGCACAAGACACCCAAACACGTTTTTTTTTCTCATGTACACATTTGTCCTTAAAGCACTAGAGACAAAACTGTTTCCTATTCCACTCCTGCCTAAAATGACCTGACAACTTAATAATTGAACTGGGTACTTAGCTCACCATGCTGCTGATGTGCCTCTTCTTAATTGATTTTGTCAGGATCTTTTTAACTTCTGCTGTTGCCAGAAAAGAGGTTTATTAAAATTTCCCCCTCTCATGTCCTGTTCTCACATTAACCCTCTGTGTCATGGTGGTTTGCAGGATCTGCCCAAATTGAACTGCCTGATGTTGGAAAGCTTTGAGCTCCATGCCTCTGCCAGTGATATTGTAAAGAAGAAGAAACTATGCCTGTATTTTCTCCCAAAGCATCAGTAGCATGAACAGCTGCTTAATGGCATTGTTAGATATATTTTCCACGAGGAAGGCAAAGGAAAATGTGCCCATGAAGTGAGTAAAGCAATAGAAAACATATCTTCACTTGCATTTGGAACTGAAGTTGCAGTTGATGGTTCATTGTCCAAATGGAGATTAGCAACAAGTAGTGTCCATATTGGACCCAGTGCTGTTTAATATCTTTATAAATGACATAACAACAGGATTGAGTACACCCTTCAGCAAGTTTGTGGATGACAGGGGAGAGAAAACATAAAGAACGATTTGTGGGTTGAGACAAGGATAGGGAGGGATCACTCACCAGTTACTGTGCTGGGCAAAACAGACTCGACTTGGGGAAATTAGTTTCATTTATTGCCAATCAAATCAGAGTAAAATAATCTGAAATAGACCCAAACCTTAAAACAACTTCCCATCACTCTGCCCTGCCTTCTACCTGCACTAAACCTCACTCCCCAGTTTACTCTACCTCCTCCCCTTCAGTAGTGCAAGGAGAGGGGAATGGGGCTTGTGGTCAGTTCATCACACATCTCTGCTGCTCCTTCCTCCTCAGGGGGAGGACTCCTCACACTCTTCCTCTGGGACTCTTCCAGCCTGGGGTCCCTCCCACGGGAGAAATTCTCCATGAACTTCTCCAATGTGAGTCCTTCCCACAGGCTGCAGTTCTTCACAAACTGCTCCAGTGTGGGTCTCTTCCACAGGGTGCATTCTTTCAGGAACAGGCTGCTCCAGCATGGATCCCCCACAGGGTCACAAATCCTGCCAGCAAACCTGCTCCAACATGGGCTCCTCTCTCCACAGCCCCCAGGTCCTGACAGGACCCTGCTCCACTGTGGGGTTCTCCATGGGCTGCAGGGGAATCTCTGCTCCATCACCAGGAGCACCTCCTGCCCCTCCTTCTTCACTGCCCTGGGCGTCTGCAGTTGTTTCTCTCACATATTCTCACTCCTCTCCTCTGACTGCTGCTGCTGGTGTTCCACTGGAAGTTCTTTTTCCCAGCTTCTTTTGCATGTTATCCCAGAGGTGATACCACCATCGTTGGCTCAGCCTTGGCCAGCGGCAGGTCCATCCTGGAGCCGTCTGGCATTGGCTCTGTCGGACACGGGGAAGCTTCTGGCAGCTCCTCACAGAAATCACCCCTGTAGCCCCCCTGCTACTAAAACCTGGCCACATAAACCCCATACACAACTCCGGGGTCCCCAGCTCAAGAAAGAGTTAAAAGAGTTCCAGAGGAGGGACACAAAAATGATCCCAGGGCTGGAATACCTGTCCCACTAGGAAAGGCTGGGAGAGTTGGGTCTGTTCAGCTTGGAGAGGAGAAGGCTCTGCACAGACCTTATGGCAGCATTTCAGTAGATAAAGGGAGCTTATAATAAAGACAGAGAAGCTTTTTACCAGGGCGTGGAGCGACAGGACAAGGGGCAACAGTTTTAAACTGAAAGAGGGCAGGTTTAGGTTAGACATAAGGAAGAAATTAGTTATAATGAGACTGGTGAGGCCCTGGCACAGGTTACCCAGAGAAGCTGTGGCTGCCCCATTCCTGGAAGTGTTCAAGGCCAGGCTGGGACAGGGCTTGAAGCAACCTGGTCTAGTGGAAGGTGTCCCTGCCCATGGCAGGGGTTTGGACTAGAAAATCCTTGAAGGTCCCTTCCAACTCAAACCACTTTCTGATTCTACGATTTCACCTGAATATACTGTTTTATAGTAACTTCATGGTTTTGTTTTGTTTTTTAATAGCATTTGCCATTATAACCAAGTAACTCACAACATTATGTTTGTTGCCACATGATTTCACACTTGCTCTAGGCCAGACAAGCTCTACACCTTCAGCAGAGAAATTCTTTACCTGGGTCATCAGTGCCAAAATCACGTGCTGTGTGAGCTGGCTCAGGGAAAGCTCAATCAGTCTGTGTCTGCACTGCATCACACTAATGAGGTAATCACTGAGTTGCTAATGAATGGGATTAGTGACTGGGCAAAGAGTGTTTGTTCTGGATCCCTTGTTCAAATGCAACTCGAAGCTCTCAAAATATTTGCTCGCAATCAGCCACGAGCTGGGCTCGGTTCAGCTCCCACTAACGAGATGAAAATGATTTCCATCACTGGAGGATTTGCCAAATGTGCTGATGGAGAAAGTCTGCACTTTGTGGTGGATAGAGGGAAGGAGTTCTATTTCACAAGTAAACTCTCTGAAGTAAGGTAAAGTGGTCGGTGTCATAATTCCTAATTTCACACCAGCACTAAGATTGGCTGGAAAAAAAATAATATCACTCTATTAATTAGCTTTTCTTAATAGAAATTAACGGATATTTAATATTACATGTTACATTCCAATTATGTGGATTTTGTAGGATAAATCTAAAGAAAAACCACCAGAACCTGTGCCTTCTGTTTCTTCACCAAACCAAACTGCACTGATTTCAGAAGTTTCACAGCTTTGACCCTGAATGAGCTTAAGCACCTGCAAGATTTCTCTGAGCATTTTTTCTGCTCAATCTTTACTGAGGAAGGACTGTGTCAGCTTTTTGGAAAGGAAGAATGCAATTGATATCAGTGCAGGCAGGAATCTAGTATAATATTTGTTATTCTTTTCTAAAGCTTCCCAGTAACCAAAAATCCATATAGAGGTAACTGATGTTTTCTTTTTTTTTTTTTTTTTCTGGTGAGAAACATTTTTGGCAAAAGAATAAAAAATATATTGTTTTGTTAAATTCCCTTCAATAATTCCTATGACATTTTAATTAAAACCATTTTTGAAATGCTTTATTTACTGGAGGAAAACTGCATTTATAACACACGACACACTTAAACGAGAATTTAAATGGCAGTTTCAATCATGCTGTCAGCAGAAAATATTGTGGGTCAGGATGGAACAAAATCCCAAATGCTGGTTGCATTGAAACCTATGAAATGGAATCTAATGCAAAATTTGGTGCTTTTTTTATGAGATACCTTGCTTGATTTTTTTTAATAGATTAAAGGTCTTTAAAAAATAGTAACAGTGTGCCTTGTTTATTTGACCTGCTCTTTCACGAGTTTTTCTCATAAATAAATGTGGTGTTCTGTGCATACAGTGGGATAAAATAAGCATCTAAGTGTTGTAAATGGCACATATAATTGTGGTCATGCTTAGCTCAGATCCAGCAGAGCAGAGTCTAAAGCAGCAGTGCACAGCAGGGGGGAGAATCTGAGCTAAATTAATCTTTAAATGTACAAAACCAGTAACAAACAAACAAACAAAAAAAGAATCAGACAAAACACTTTGACTTTCATGGTTTTAAATGAGCAGAACTGGGGATCAGGAGCAGGTTAAAAACACAAACAATGGAGATGAATTAAAAGCTACTTATCTTACAGCACATTGTATAGCAAATCTGAAGGCAGAGGAATAGCATTCCCCAGACACAGGGGACGTAATTAAAATTTGAGGTAAAACATGTCTACAACAAAGGGGAAAAGAAATAGGCAAAATTATTCACAATGGTACCAACACACAGTATGAAATTTAGCTCTTTTTTCATACAATTTGTGTTTGTTGGTGTAGCAGGTTCGATGGGACGTGTCAGTAACGCAGACATGGACACAGGGCCTGAATGTGCAATGCCTGGAGAATCCATTCCAGCTTCCCAGGGGGATCACAGGCTCTGCAAAACCAAGAAGAACTGATAAGTACTTACAGGATTCCCAGAGAGTTTCTGATGTAAAGCTGTTACTGATGGAAGGTGGTTACTCAAGAGGGTCCCAGAGTGCAGAGTCAGCAACAAAGTAGATGGAAAATCAGAAAAGTGTATTTTCAGTGATTCCAGCCCAAGGTAACTGTGGGAGTAGAAGGGGCAAGGACACTGGCCCAGGTTGCCCAGAGAAGCAGTGGATGTCCCATCCCTGGAAGTGTTCAAGGCCAGGTTAGATGGGGCTCTGAGCAACCTGGTCTACTGGAAGGTGTCCCTGCCCATGGCAGGGGGTTGGAATGATATGATCTTTAAAGTCCCTTCCAACCCAAACCGTGCTATGATTCTATGACTGAGAGTATACACAAAACAAACTTATAAAGAAAATGCAGCCTAGAGCTGCTTTAGCAAGGAAAAGAATAGATTTTGTGCTGCTCTTCAATGCTAGCAGTTCCCATAAATGGAGAATATTGCATTTACTTTTAAAAATACATTTTCCTGCAAAGTGGACAAAGTACAGAAGGCAGAGTGTGACACTGATGCACTTTGCAGGAGAGAATATATCTAAGAAATCTCAGTCTGCTTCCCATTTTTCCATGCAATGGAAACCTTGGACACTTCCCCTGGCTAGGAAGACTCACTATGCCATGTGTAGATCTCCAATTAGAGAGCAAAACCACGTAAGTCTAAACTCTAAAATGTTTACATCATTCATGTAGACAGTCAATAGAATAAAAAAGGCAATTTTTGATGAACGAGCATGTTGCTCTCCAATTACCATAAAAGAAGCCTCTTAGGACAGACATCAGCAGCAGAATAGCACCTCCAAGATCAGCACTATGGACTTCTGAGGTTAGATAAATTGTATTTTTGCATGCACCAACCCATAAAGAGGCCTGGGTGTTTGTGGTAACATCACCAGGAAATACATCCTCAGCCTTTTGAAGTGTTTGTGTTTATTCTACCTCTACTTCCTTAGTGAACATTGTTTGTGTATCTCTGCAATGCAAGAAAATCTAGTTAAACTTGTTAACAAGGGTGAGAAAAGGAATGAAAAAATAGTCTGTTATTATTATTGAAGACATAATTGGTAACAAGTTCTTTTTTTTCTTTTTTTTCTTCTTTTTTTTTTCTCTTTTTTCTTTCTTTTTTTTTTTTTTTTAAATACAGGTGCAAGCCTTAGAAACACTCTTAGTTTTAATTATGCTTCACTGTAAACCAACAAGGTGTCAAAACAGACCAGACACCCCCCTCCCTCAAAACAGCCAAACACAGACACACACATATTTTTATTTATGCTAATGTTCAAAATTGCTCATAATAAGATCAACTAGACAATATTCTGAAATCAGATGTCCACTGTGTGCTGTGCTGCATATACAAAGCATGGATGACAGTTCCTGCCTTGTATTCACATAAACACCCCAAAGAGGCAATAAAACCACTCTTACTTTAATAAGCAAGGCTATCCTGCAGATGACATTCATCTCAGCTAATTTAGAGGTGCAAGTACCTCCATCTGAGTATAATAACTCCCAGGCTCCAGGCTCCTATTACAGTAATTACAGATCTAATCAATACACTCAAGGATTTTTAGGGTGGGGATCATTTAAATGCCTGGTATTAGTTACAAAGGGATCTTCAGGATGACTTTCTCAGGTGCAGAAAGGTACACTTCGGACACCTACATTTAGCTGCACAAATTCAGTAGCCAAAGTCCTTTTAATGTCACAAAAGGATGTGCTCAAGTTACTCAGATAAGTGGAGACACTCTGGAAAGTGAATGGACACCACTAAACATGTGACCTTTCCATCTGCATGGGAACCGTTCTCACTTTCCTGTTCACTCAGTGTTTCACGGTACTTTTTAAAGAGGAAAAGCTGCAAGATGAGCCCTGAAGGTCCCCTCCAGCCCAAACCAATGTATGGCATTAAGTAATCCTGTGATATTTCTACAGGTGCCAATCATCAATATATTCACTGCATGTGCACGTCACAGAACCACAGAATGGATGGGGGGGGAAAGAGACCTCTGGACATAGAGAAGGGTGATCAGGGCTCTGTCCAGCTGGGTTTTGAATGGCTCCAAGGCTGGAGACTCCACAACTCTCAGCAACCTGTTTCCCTGTTTGACAACTTTTATATTTAAAAACAAACAAACAAACAAACAAACAAAAACAAACAAAAAAACCCCAACAACAACCCCCCCAAAAAACACCACAAACACACAAGTGTTTTGTTTTGTTCAAGCATTTTTTCATCTATTTCAGGTTGTGCCCATTGTCTTTTGTCCTGCCAGAGGAAACCACCGAGAAGAACCTGATTCCATCTTTTATACCTCCCTCAATCAGGTATATATAGGTGGATAAGATCCTCCTGAGCCTTCCCTTCCCCAGGATGCAATCCCAGCTCTCTGAGCAGGAGAGAAAGGACCAAGTCAGATCCTGTGGACCTCGGATAAGATCTTATCTCCAAGGACTAGGACGAAGGGACCATATGTTGGACGTAAAAGCAAACCCTACTACCAGCATTGCTTTCAGCAGGCTCTGCAGTACTGGGAATTGTGAATCTTGATTTGCAGGCAGGGGAAATATTGCAAAAGCCATTTAAATTAAAAATTGATAATCTACAGGCTTGGAGTGGAACAAGAAAGATTCGCATTTAACATTGCAAAAGCCATTTGAATTAGAAATAGATAATCTACAGCCTTCGAGTGGAACAAGGGAGATTCCAGACACAATCTAATTAAAGATATTCTGGGCCAACAAACCAACAGACTTGAAACATGTTTCTGGTTTATCTGAGGATAAAAATGAGTTATTATGAGTTACTGAGGAAGAGTTTGAGTTCTGTCATACTTTTAGGTTTTGATTAAAGATGTTTTTTTGCTATTTGCTGTAGTAGTAGTTATGCTGAGTTTAACAGTTCTAGTCCTGGACTATATAGTCTTGTGTTAACTGCTGTACAAATAAAGAATTAGAAGGAAATTTCTAGAAAAAAAAATAAAATTACGTTGGAGTAGATTTGGATTTATTTTTTAGATTTGGGGAACTTTACTAGTAGAAACTTGGCTGACTTAAGGCTTTGTCTGTCTGTATTTCAGTGAATCATTCCTATTACCGTCATAGTCAATAAAAGGAAACAGGCATATTTATCTTGATTTTTGTTTTTCGTGCAGAGAGGGCAAGAAAGAAAAGGGTAAATAAAAAAATCTAAACCCTGCTGCTATCAGGGTGCTAAAATTACTCTTCTGTGCAGGCTGACAGGTCTCTCTACTGAGAACTGCAAAAACAGACTGTAAAAAGCTGCTCCAGCCCTGTGGTAGCTCTAAGTTGCAATGGGAACGTGAGCTATGGATCCTCCCTTGGCTTCAGAGAAGTGACTTTCACCTCTTTGTGGTTCACAGGGTAGACTCTGCTCATTTATTTAGCCCAGGCTGTTCTGCTTAAATTAAAAAGGTAATCTCAAGGGAAGATAAGTTATCCAGAGTAATAAACCAATTAGCTCCTACCTGCTGTTGTTTCAAATCAAGGGAGATCTCTGTCTAAGTAAACATGAGGAAAAGTATCACACTGTGTAGGGAAGCTGTGATGATACAACTTTGGAATTTTGCAAATTTATAAAGATGTAAGGCTTTCCCATCGATATGAATCTCAATGAACTTCTCTGTTGGAGAAGCTCATCCAGAGAAAATGTAGCCCATTGTTAATAGTAGATGACCATTATTTGTGCAGAGCTTTTGGGCCAGTTGGATGATTCTTTGAAAGTGTGAAATGATGACATTCATTACAAGCTGACTGAGATGATCAAAGGTGGTCTATGAAATTACCAAGTCAATGAAAGAGAGGAGATGTTCCAAAGCTCATTTCAGTCCATGCAAACGCCCTCACTGACTTTATCCAGCTTTGCAGCAGGCCTACAGGAAAGCTCTTACAGTTGCTCTGCAAAGCCATGGGTTGTAAACCCACACTGTTGAAGGAAGTCTGATGGATTGTCCAAAGGATGGAGAATTTAGGACAGAATGAATAGATGGATTTTGGTGGTGAGCACTGAAAACAGGGGTGTGGAAACAGCTCTTCAGAGTTATTTATGGCCTCCTTCGCAACAAGTCAAACTCACACAAGGAGTGAACACGTGCCAGAACTGGACCCTCAGCACAGGTATCCTGAGCTGCAGCCCATAGAAAAGAAATTTTAGGCCCTTCACTCCATTTTGCCATTTTTTTCTTAATTCAGTTTTGTTTTAATTTATTTTGATTTTTTTCAATGTCCTAAAGGACCTGTTTCCAAAGCACTGATGTCCTTTGCTGCTTTTGAACTGAAACCTTCACATACACAAGTTTACACTAATTCAACCCATGTCACAATATACTTTATTTGTCTACTTTCCTCTGAAGGTGTTTTAGACTCCATACCAGTTTCAGATGTAAATTGCAAAGTAGCCTCCAAATATGACAGAGCTGAAATCCTGCAGCATCATCTCATTCACGATAGAGAACCTAAATTCATCTGTGAGGCTGAGGGTGGAGACAGGACCTTGTAACATGAGGACCTAAATTTTCTATTTCTGAAACCCCCAACAGAATATTGAAGGGAAAGTAGGAAACCTCTGGTTGTTTATGTTTTTCTGGTTCTAGTCACTTGTAGTTGCTAATATTCTTATTTTCTTTTCCTGACAATATAGAAAATATACTTAGCATACGTTTTCAGGATTCCAAATATCAAATTTACCCCCGTATCAGAAATTCTGCAGAATTTCCTCTGCATTTGGGGTGCAATTCATGCCTTAACTAATTTGAACTGAATCTCTTTCATCTGTGATAGTGGGAATGGACTTTGAAGGTCCATGTTTTCCCTTTCAGATCAGTGTGATGATGGTTTCAGCCTGGGCCTGATATAACTGCTTTATTATATGCATAAAATTTTAATGATGCATTTTGAGGATAGGGGGAAAAAAAAAAAGATAAGGAAAAGAAG